AAGCTTCTTCATGGAAAGGTCGGTGTCGATGAAGAGCTTTATTAGGAGAGCTCGGTGTTTAATCGGCTGTTGATCGTCAGAAGTTCAGGACGACTGGAGTCGGAGGTCTGACTCCTCATCTGAGCGTCTGCTGGTTTTACCGCGGTACCTGAGCGGGAGCTGACGTGTGTGTGTGTGTGTGTGTGTGTTCAGGAGTGATTCTGCTCTGGGGATTTATCTTTACTGCCGTCTGTAAACACTCGGCCCTGATGTTTCTCATTAGACTCGAGTCTAACGGGGGTCTAAAACAAGCTCAGGCCCGACACACTCCAGCAGAGGCGTGGAGTTATACTTTATGAGGCAGGAGGTCACAACACGGCTAACTGGGACCACACACACTCACACACACTTTTCCACTCTTAACACACACACTCTTTAGGGATCCACTGGGGAGATGTTCAGTGTAGGAGCTCTCGTCCTGAACACCATACAGATGCAAATAAATACAAAGTGTGTGTGTGTGTGTGTGTGTGTGTGTGTGTGTGTGTGTGTGGTGTGTTGTGTGTGTGTGTGTGTTGGTGTGTGTCAGTCAGGGTTGGAGTGTGAGGAGTGTGTTCAGTCCTCCGTGGCCTGTGAAGTGTTTCCGTTTGGGAGTGAAGTTGGTTTCTTCTGCTGGAGTTTGAAGGTCCTGAGGTTATCTGTGACCTACAGCTGGCCGGCCGGCACACACACACACACACACGTGTGGACGTCTGCTGTGTCGTGACAAACTCTCTGAGCTCTAGACAGAAAGGACATCATTAACCTTCGCTCCTCAGTACAGCAGGGATCCGCTCTACACGGCTGACACACGACACACACCACTCTTTACTGACCCAAGCATTCAAAGATAATAGAATCATATAGTTTTTCATTAACAAAATGGTTCAACAGTTTGAGGACAGTAAAAAAGTGTCAATAAAGACCTTTATAATGTTACAAAATATTCTAATAATGCTGAAAATGTACCGACCAATCACAGTCTCAGGATCAGATCAAGCAATGAGGCGTACCGACCAATCAGAGTCTCAGGATCAGATCAAGCATGAGGCATACCGACCAATCAGAGTCTTAGGATCAGATCAAGCATAAGGCGTACCGACCAATCAGAGTCTCAGGATCAGCTCAGGCTCCTCCAGTCGTGTGTGTGATCTTAATGTGTGTGTGTTCCAGCAGGTGTGTTTCTCTCGAGCGCACGGGTCTTTAATAATGTTGAGTTTAGTTGAATCTGACAGTCAGGGCCACTAAAGGCTGTTCGTTAAAGAGCAGGGGTCAGGGGTCAGGGGTCACTGAGAGACAGTGTGAGGGTCGGTTCAGATGAATCTCCTGAAGTGTTTGTGTGTGTGTGTGTGTGTGTGTGCGAGTTTCTCAGGTGTGTGTGTGTGAGTTTCTCAGGTGTGTGTGTGGTGTGTGTGTGTGAGAGAGGAGGAGAGAGAGAGAGTGTGTGTGTTGTGTGTGTGTGTGTGTGTGTGTGTGTGTGTGTGTGTGTGTGTGTGTGTGTGTGTGCGAGTTTCTCAGGTGTGTGCGTGTGAGTTTCTCAGGTGTGTGTGTGTGTGTGTGTGTGTGAGGAGAGAGAGAGAGAGAGAGAGAGTGTGTGTGTGTGTGTGTGTGTGGACAATAGTCTCAGCAGTGGCCTCTGATTGCCTCTTTTCTCATGTTAATGAGCATCTCTGTGTTCCTCCTCTTTCTCAAATCTCCACAAATTATACAGAAAACACAGAAGAGGAAAATCCTGCGGTGTTTTCTGCTTTTTTATTCAACAGACTGACATGTAAATGCGAGTGTAAGTGTTGTTCTCCGACACTCTGATCGGCAGCTAATTGTAGCCGTCAATTATATAAGATGCTCTTTTACTTCAACACAAACCCGGATCAAACACAATCACCTCTCCTGCCTGAGAGAGAGAGAGAGAGAGAGAGAGAGAGAGAGAGAGAGAGAGAGAGGGAGAGAGGGGGGGGCAGGAGAGAGAGAGAGGGGGGGGGGCAGGAGATAGAGAGAGACCGAGAGAGATGAGAGAGAGAGTTGTCAAGATGATGACTGTGTTTATTTGCATTACACGTTTGAATATAAATATTTGTTGATTTGTTCATTTTATGTCTCAAATGATGTCAAGGATCTTGAAAGTGCTGTCTGTCTGTATGTGACTGCAACGGACAGACAGACAGACAGACAGGCAGGCAGGCAGACAGACAGACAGACAGACAGACAGACAGACGTAGCACCTCATTGCAGTACATGAGATCCAGGGGGCGGAGTTGGATCCAGATCTAAAGGGGTGACGATGGGCTGGATTAGGGGTGGGGTTAGGGATCAGGGGGTGGAGATGGGCTGGATTAGGGGTGGGGTTATGGATCAGGGGGTGGAGATAGGTAGGTTTTTTGTATATGTAAGGTGGGAGGAGTTGACAGACAGATATATAGAAAGACGGTTAGACAGGCGGGCTGACAGACAGACAGGCCACTGTAAACAGGGCCGGATTATCCATAAGGGCACTTGGGCCAGTGTCCAGGGGCACCAACCATTCACAACCAATAGGGGGGCACCACATGACAAGCTTAAAAAATATTTTTCGTAAATTGCTGTTATTAACTTGAAATTCTTGAAAGACCATACATAACTCGTTAATGAACACTAATTTAACAATAATAATAAATTATAAATAAATAAAGATTACATGACCACTATCACTCCCCCCTCCCCAGTCTGTCAGAGGTGAGTTGGTCCACAACAGGTACGCGCAAATGTCATTCATTTTTTTTAACGGCCACAGAAAATAAATCTACATCAAACATGGACAGACGTCAATTGAGTGGTTTTGCAAAAAGAAAGTTACAGAAAGACAAGGACGCTAGACGTTTAGCTACAATTCAAAATGTTCCAGGGATGGAAAGTTTTGTTGTGAGAGCATCAGCGCTGAGTCTGACGGAGCCGGTGTTCTGGCCATTTGTGCTGTCTTGTCGAAAAATGCTAATGTTACCGTAGCGCGAATCGTTTACAGAGAATGTCGAGTAATATTATAAGAAGTGGAGACGGTAACAAAGAAAAGGACTTTGGGCATGTAGTTGCTCAAGGAAGAAGCAGTTCTGCAAAACTTAATACATGAAAACGTTTTAACAGATTTAGTGTCTCTTATTTGTTCCCCCCTAAATAATGTTGTTGTTGTTGTTTTCACTAAATGCAATTATTGTGCACTTATGATTATTTTAGACTAAATTTTACTGCTGAGTTATCCACTAATCTAGTTTATAATAGATTTATTTTTTTTGTCAGGTTTTGATCATATTTATTTATTGATTTTTTTATTTGTTGTTTTTCTTTATAATGAAGTTGTCTGTATTAAGTAGATTGTGTTTAACACAAAATAGTGATTATCAGTTCAACACAGAGTTATAGAAATTGAGCTGGTATCGGATCGGTATAATTCGTTATATAAAGTTAACTCTACGGAGGCCGTAATATATTAGACTCCTGGTTAAAGTTAAGTTTCTCCAGCTCTCCTCAGGTTGGCAAAAAGTGCATCTCCAAATGCATCAGATTGATGCTTTAAAATGTGGAATATTTAAAATTTTCTTCAGGGGGAGCATGCCCCCGGACCCCCTTAGGGCTAATCAAAACCTTCTCACTTTTTTTCTCCCTGACCCATATTCATGCCTGTAAAGGTAAGAAAGCTGATAGATGTATTATTATTTACGTTAGGCAAACGTAGGGGGCCTTTTGAGGTAAAGTGCCCAGGGGCACCACACTGTCTTAATACGGTCCTGACTGTAAATCTTAACTTTTTAGTTAACTTAATGTCCAATAATTTTTTTTTAACTTACTTTTTTAAACTTACAATGTAGTAATCTGTACTGTCTGCATGCTATGCCTTCATTACTTAGAAAACCAAAGTACACATTACTTGACTGGTTTGAGTGCCATTTTGACAAAGCAAAAAAAAAAAAAAAAAAAAAATTGATTGTTATTGTCAATACAAATACAAATAGAGAACATCACATAAGGTGACTTTCATTAATTCATGTAGATTTCCTCAAATTTCTGGTTGGGTTACGGTTAGGGTTAGGGTTAAGGTTAGGGTTAAATTATTTCCATGATTTGAATGATTGTATTAATGACATATAACCAAAGTTCATGTGTAAAATTATCTTTTAACATTTTATTGCTTACACTTATGCCTCAATATGTGTGACAATATCTTGCAATTTAGCTTGAGTCTCACACAGACTTCAACATACAGCATGCAAACCACAACAATGGTAACAAGCTGTTTTAATTAATTTAATTAATTAGACCATTTCAAAGTTATTTGCTGTCTCTTGTCAGTATAACCCCAATAAAAATAGCAAATAAAATTGTAATGGTAAAATAAAGCCAACAATAGTAAAACAAAGCAATTAATGTATTCATCCTGCAATGCACTCTGGGAGAAAACTTCCTCAGATCACATATACAATTAAGTTGACAAAACTTAAATGGATTAAGAAAGAAGAACTTTATGCAATTAAGTTATGCTTAAACTAAGGCAACGGTTTGCACAATTGAATGAAGTAAATGAACAAATTTGTTTTTATGGTGTGCAGATAGATAGATAGATAGATAGATAGATAGATAGATAGATAGATAGATAGATAGATAGATAGATAGATAGATAGATAGATAGATAGATAGATAGATAGATAGATAGATAAAGGGGCGGGGCTAATTAGAAACACCTGGAGAGACAAATAAACAAGAAAAACTACAAAAGGACTACAAATCATGGCACAGAAGAGGAAATAACTAAAGTCCACACAAGACAGGAATCATGAGACTGTTGAGACAGACAGACAGACCGACAGACAGACAGACAGGTTTACCTGTTCCAGCATGGGATCATTTTATGGATTTATTTAGTTGTAATTTTGTTAATTTTGTCTTAAGACTTTTGCTTCTATTTTGAATACATGTTATGAATAAAAGAGATACTTTGTTACTAAAACACATTGAAATAACCCATTAAACATGCAAGTCTTGTGCAATCGTTTAAGACAGTTCTCCAGAACCTTAGTGACACTAAACCTTCTTCAAGCATTTTATTATTTTTAAAACCATTAAAAATATTAATATTAAGGATATTTAACATATATAATATCAAGAACACAAGAGTCTATTTAAATTAAAATGTATTTAATATTTATGCAAATATATGAAGTGACATCGTGCCAGTGTCAGGTTTTATATTGTAGTTCTTGATATATGATGTAATCTTGTCATATTATACATGCTTTATAATTTCTGACAAATTAGCATCTGTTTTATGTCTGTATGTTGTTTATTTATTGTCATATGACATTTGATATAGAATGATTTGTCTAATTTAATATAAAACCATATAGTGTTCATCCTGCAGATTATGAAACATGAATTTGTGAAATCTCTCTCTCTCTCTCACACACACACACACACACACACACACACACAGCGTGTGTCATAACTTCCACAAGAGGGCCAACCCCTGCCAGGAGAAAGGTTTTATTTCATAGGAGAAATTAAATTTCACACTCGTGCGAAGTTTATACAGCACATAGCAGCAGATCTTTACAAGATTCATATGCAAATGTGCGTCGAGATTAGAGATACAACAATTATTCCAGTTCATGATAAATTATTCATTTAACAACCGTCAATTATTAATTCCACAGGAACAATAAGCCATGTTTCTGTAGGCAGAGCTTCCTATTTTAACGGACCTTTGCCTCTCTCTCCCTCCCTCTCTCTCTCTCTCTCTCTCTGTGTGTGTGTGTGTGTGTGTGTGTGTGTGTGTGTGTGTGTGAACGTCAGTATTAATTGTGAATGTTTTCCATTTTCCTCTGTGCTTCAGAAAGCATCGGAACTGTTATAAACGCGCCTGGAGACCTGACCTCTTTACAGAGACACCAGAATCAGCGAATCAGAATCAGGAGAATCAGCGAATCGGAATCAGGAGAATCAGTGAATCAGAATCAGGAGAATCATCTCATGTCTGATGAAGAGAGTCCGCTAATAATCAGATCATTGCTGTCCTCATCCTGAAGTGCTTCATGTGGAAATCAATGGCTATCTGATGCATGCGGCATTCGCAGCAGTAACCGTGTGTGTGTGTGTGTGTGTTACACACAGTAGACCAAAGCCTGCGGCTACAGTAAGAACTCATTTTTAGAGAGTTTGAGATCACTCTCTCCACTTACTCTGCTCTATAACTGTCCATCAGTCTGCCGTGTTTTTCTTTTTCGTGTGTGTGATGCGCTCATGTACACCTGTCATTCACATTAAAATGCGTGTGTGATTGGAACAGGTTTGTTGGGTAAATGCATAATTAATAAGTACAGATGAGAAATGGCTCGCGCATGTATGCCCGCTGTATTGCACGAGCTGTATCTGTGAACGGTCGGACGGGCTTTTGACTGGTAATGCACACACACACACACACACACACACACACACATGAAGATGTGATAATTATGCTAATGAAATACATGCCTGTAACCCTATACTACTGTACTGTATGCGCGTGTATATTAACGTGCACGCGCGACGGGGACCCGTAGATCATAAGGGGAAATTACACTTTACTAAAGGAAGACAAAAATGAGTTAAATATGCCTTTTTACACTGAAAACCATTTTTATATCACACTTACATTTACATCAGTTGATTTTATAAAAAAAAAGATGCACATGCAATTCATTTAGACATTTGAGACACAACCAGATCTTCACATTTATTATGTCATTGTCATCCGTTTCTACAGGGATTTGCTTGCATAGGGAATTTATAATTTACCATTTTATTTAAGTTGCAATTGTTATAATGCACCATTGGCATTGACAATGCTGTGGTGTCAAATGTGTGTGTGAGGTGTAACGGGCGCGCGCGCAGAGAGGGGGCGTCTGTCTCCTCATGAACCCGCAGCTCTTCTGTCTGTCTCACACAATATATATAACCATGAGTGACAGACTATACAACACACACACACACACACACACACACACACACACACACACCATACATGTGCAGACAGACAGACTAAAACATGTCACAAAACTTGAAACATAATATACGTGGTCGCATCTTAATACTCATTTTTCTTTTTCAAAAATATTTAATATGACTGAATCAGCTTGAATATATTATGTTATAACAGAATAAATCAAATCAAGTAAAAATCATGTTCACTTTTTATATACAAACCAGTCGGAACTGGATTCACGGATATAAACACAAGCGCGCGCATCATCAGTTAAACACAGAATACAATTATAGAAATAAGTATACATTTTAAATAATACTAATAACAATAATGACAACTATAATAATAAAAGATAAAATATTACCAATAATATGACTGTTTTATTAAATTAAATGAGATAAATACACACCTGATTGATTATAGAGGATAGAAGCAGTGATGCTGAACAGAAGCATCGATCACACTGATGTCTTCATCATCTTCCTCACCAACACTAACTCTATTCTCATGAAACACGGTCGACATCGGAAGACTTCAGCTTAGCGCGGGAAACAGAGAGAGAGAGAGAGAGAGAGAGAGAGAGAGAGAGAGAGAGAGAGAGAGAGAGAGAGAGAGAGAGAGAGAGAGGTGCTCGTTCTTGTGTCGGAATCCCTCTGAAATCTCCTCGGCGATGCGTTTCTTTCTTTAAATTTCGACTGGAAATGAGTTTTTATAAGACATGAATCACAGCAAGAACATCCCGCAGCGTTCAGTCTTTAACAGTCCCGAAAGAACTCCTCTCACCTGCACACCTGCACACCTGTAGACTCACCTGTCACGGGAGAGCGCGCTCCCGCCGCCCTGCGCGCGTCAGAACGGTCCAGATTCAGCAGTCCTCCTCCTCATGTGTGATTTCAGCTTTTGTTTTTATTTCATCCTCTTATTTCTCTGTGTGAGAGAGAGAGAGAGAGAGAGAGAGAGAGAGAGAGAGTTAGCGTGCCGAACTTTCTTCAAACGTTATTCGTGTCTTCGCAATAAAGGTGCCCGATGCTGTGTGTGTGTGTGTGTGTGTGTGTGTGTGCGCGCGATCATAAAACACACACGTTTGGCTCTATTATCCCTCCCTGTGCTGATAGGTGGCGTGTGTTTCTCTCTCTCTCTCGAAAAGAAAAGGAGGAAAACAGTGTGATCGAGGCGTGCGAGCGCAGGTTTGAGTCCTGGAGTGTGTGAGAGGATCAGTCAGGAATAACGCGCCTCTGTTTCTCAGGCTTTATTCTGGACCCAGACACTATAACACACACAACACACACTCCTGCGGCCGAGAGCACAAGGTAAGACACACTCTGCTACCTTCACATCCGCTTTAGCTCTGTCCTGACGCCAGATCGCCTCGCGTTCCGCTGCGGGTCCGGGATGGGTTAGCTCGCGCTAAACACTGAGGTGTGTGTGAGTGTGTGTGTTTCTCCTCTTACCTGTGCAGGTGCGCGACACACTGGAGCAACGCCTTCGACGCTCACGGCTTATTTTAGAGAGAAAGAGCGAGAGGAACAAACGCGAGGATTAGAGATTTTGAAAGATTTCGCAAAACTAGGCTATATTTTGTGTGTGATGTTGCAGCGCGCGAGATCAGTGATGCACATTCAGCTGCTAATTTAAACACATTTATAAACACAATATTTACATGCATTTACAAAACATATCATTTATGTAAAGTAAAGCAAAAATTCAAAATTCAAAATTCAAAGCAAAAGTATATTTGTGCAGTTTTTAGATATTTGATGAATGGGTGATTATGAACGCGTTTCTTATTTATTCAAGCACACCGTAGAGAAATTATAGAGCCTATTTTACAAAGTTTTTAAATGCTGTATGTTCAGTACTAATACTTTCGGGAAGAGCTAAACACGCAGAAAGAGTCCATTGGAAATAAAAATATATTTCATGGAGTTAATCCAAATTGTATAATTAATAACGAAAAATGTTAGCGTGTTCTCGTTTTATTATATTTCGCATTTACGCCTAAAAACAACCCCTTAATAAATATGCGATTTAACCTCCGCCATAAATAAATTCGGGAAATAAAAACAAAACAACCCGCAGTTTATAGACTATCAGCTCGTCAAATATAAATGTGTTATTATTGCGCTTTTGTGTTTCCGTCAGATGATCTCGACAGGACATGCGCGCGCTCTTAAACTGCTTATTTAGATGTGCATGAGTCGATCAGATGCAGGACCGCGGCTCTCTCTCACTGCTGTCCGTGTGTGTGTGTGTGTGTGTGTGTGTTCTGGGCTGATGGGCTGCCAGAGGGAGCGGTTCACCCTGTGTCTGAGTCCATGCAGACCGCCTGATCCACGCGCGGCAATGCGGGAGCTGATCATGGCGGAGGGCCCTCGGTGCAAGAGGAGGAAACAAGCCAACCCGCGGAGGAAACACGGTAAGCCAACGAGTGTGTGTGTGTGTGTGCGTGTGCGCGCGGGACGCGGAGAGATGATGAGGACGAGCGGACAGATCCGAGTCCAGATGGGACTCAGTTTTGAACAGCACGGACACACACTGCACT